TTAGCAAGACATCGGAATTTCCTGGGGAAAAATTTTTGTTGTATACCAAGACTTCCTGGAGCAAACTTGCAGTGACACTGTGGGAATATTCGTGGCAGCCTTTTTTTTAGTGGGACATCGGGACTTCCAGTGGACCTTTTTTAATGGACACCAGAATTCCAGCTGGAGGCACTTTAGCGGGAGACCGTCCGTTCCAGGTGTGTTCTTTTAACGGACACCTGGACTTCTGGGGGTATAGGAATATCCAGTGGCAACTTTTTAGCAGCGCTCTGAGACTTTCGGGGGTACCTGTTTTCAATGACACCTCAACATTAAGAGTAGCAATTTTAGCGAGAGAACACTACTTCCAGGCAAGCCTTTTTAGCAGAATACCGCGTAATGCAGGATACCTATTTTTGGGCAAACCTGGACTTCGGCATTGTTGTTTATGGGAACACCAGGGCACCCGTGGGTATATTTTTGGGCATAAGGCCCTTTTCTGGAATCCTTTCTACGGGACTTAAGTGGCAGTCACTTTAGGAAAACAATAAATTTATGGAGATGTTTTAAGCTTAATATGGAATGTTCCAGGAACTAATTTTGCCACATTTCGGGCAGTCATTTAACCCGTTTTACATTGCATTCGACATGGCATTCGACCTTGAGAGTGGAATGTCCCGGGAAAAACAATGGCTCTCTAGTGGCAATCAAAGCAATCAAGCTTCTTTTGTGAAGCTCCATGACCTTTTTTTGCCAAAGGTTAATAACGAATACTATTCAGTACAACACACATCTAGAGAATTTCCGTGTTACTAAATAGGAAAAATTGCGGATAAAACATCTTACTCTAACACGAGTCTTTTCCCGACTCGTTAACATGACTCTTTTCACGGTAGCAGTCAAAACATACGCGTGTCTACAGGCTGTACTGAGTTCTGTGTGTTAATCACCTCTAATAAGGAAATTGATGAATACCCAGAGTCACCAAGCACTAACTATATGGTCACACATTTTTGAATTTGGTTATCGTGCGCAGGCTGATCTTCAGCGCAGGCAAAAATGTGTGTGGTGGTAAAAAACTATTAAAATTTTTGGACTTTTTTACCTTAACTTAAAAATAATACCCTAATGTTATTCACATTAATTCAACACAAATGTAGAATGTACAAACTTTGGTGTGTAATAGATTTGCAGATAAATTGCCTTACCATTACACAACTTTTTTCTCTTGGTTATACGTGGAATTTCCCTGATTGTGTAGTCTGTGCTGAGCGTACCATGTTATTTAACATTAGTAAAGAAGTGGGGCGAAAGTCATTTTCAGCGGGGTGAAAGGAAGTACGAATTCTATGGTCACATTTGCATTATTCTATTCTTTTCTAGGCAGACTAAACTTATTACTATACATTTCTGAAAACAATACTGAAAAAGTACCCTTTTTCTTTGCACTGCACATCATCAGGAAAGGAGCACATTTTCTAATTCAACATGCACCTGACATGACATGAGTCAACACATTGTAGGCCCATGAAAGAAGAATTATTCCCGATATCGAAACAACCTCTGTATCAGAATAATTTTTCCTTGAGTCCCTGGAAAACAAGTTAAGCTGAAGAGAGTTTCCATGCTATCACGACTAAATTTGTGAAGTATTATAGGATAATAGAAGATGAAATGAAAAAGAACTTGCATTTTCATTATTTGGAATTGAAAATGCTTTGGGATGGGCTTGATTTTTCACAGGAGATCAAAGTCTCATATAGAAGTTGGTTGAATTCCTTGATTGAATTCTAAACAAAGTAATATCTATTCTACCTGGTGTACCTGAGAAATTCCTGGTGAGAGCGTCGGAGTCCAGACATACACCAATGTACAAAGCATATATATCTCTAGTTCATTTACCTACATACCCTCGTACCCAAACTTAATGAATTATAGATTAGACACCTTTGTTAATGGATGGAAAGTTTTTCAGAAACTGATAATATTTTCATTAAGTATTTTACCCTGAAAAATTCTTTCTTGCAACTTGGTTAGCGGGGAAAAATTAGCTTTTATGGACCATTAAAAAAATACATGTTTGAAATCATATTCCATGCATTTGCAATCAAAAACTAACTTCGGAAGCTATTTTTACACAAGTTTTTCCAAAAAAAGTAAATTGTTATAAAGAAATTTTGATAAGTATTCTCTGAGCGATACTTGCTTCTACTTCAGGGGAAAAAAATGTCATAATTTAGGGGGGGTTTGTTTACAATTGTTTCAGCATGTACGTTGGCAATTCACACTATTCCTAGTGAAAGCATGAAAATTTCTTTTCATGAGTTTTTAAGAAAATGAAGAATGGCGTGGAATGCTGACCCCATTGAGATGTTATATAATTTTTTTCTTTAATTTGCAAGGCTCACGAATTGCAGCATATTAGGAACACATTTAGTAATAGTACTGAGCATTATATTTCTTAGCACATTTCTCAGCATATTATATCTGCCTTAAAAAAATTACAATATACATAAATGCGTAGAGTCCTCATAAAAAGACGCTGTCAACAAAAGTTGTGATTAACAAATTTCTGAAAGTATGAATAAATTATCTATGTATTAATTAATTAATTAATTAAATAAATAATACATTTTCTCTTATTGCTCTACTTTTGTTCATTCTTAACCGTTTGGTTCCACTTGGTATTCTTCCTAATGGAGAATTTCACTGAATGGAGATTCTTAATGCAGAAATTTACTGAAGTTCTTGGCCACTGTCTCTCACTACATTCACAAATGTTAAGAAAAGTTTACCGCCTTCATCTCTTTTTTTAACAATGACTATTTAGAAATGAAATCTAAAAATCAAAACCATTTTTCCTTCATGACACACCTATATTAGAATTTTATCAACTTCTGTATAATGTTCATTATATTTGGTCACATATAGAGAGCTAAATAGAGCAAAGATTTTCTTCATACATTGAAATTTCATCTAAAGATAAAACACGTAAACATTTGTTTCAAAAAGAGTCTTCCATAAAATCTTTATGTTTCACTGGTTTCGGTGGTATCGGTGAGCTAAGGTTAAATCTGTACCCGAACTGCACATGCATTTATATTGCTGTTGAACCTTTAGTCTCCCATCATTTTGTGAAGTGAGCTGTTACAAGTCTCAATTTTCTTCTGAAATTTTGAAGCAAATTACAATAAAATAACAATTCATGCTGATAACAAGTAAACAAAGAAGAGACATTGGGGGAATGCCAAGTATCTCCCATACTAGCACTAATAGTCAGAGGACTACTCCAAGGACTTAACTCAAATGGAATATAGAAAATAGTCAGAGGACTATTCCAAGGACTTAACTCAAATGAAATATAGAAAATTTTCACATAGAGATCGGGCTAATTTTCAGAGTTAAAACTTCCTTGGAATATCCAGTTTATTCAGGTTAACGCATTCCATGTTCAATTTCATGACATGAAAATGCCATGTTCAATTTCATGACCCGAAAATGGGTCCCCATAAAGAGTCGAGGTTCTGCTAAGAAGGTGGCCCCAGATATTCCAGTATCCCAGAAAGCAGATACTGCAGAAGTCCAGGTGTCTATTAAAAAAAAGTCCACCGGAAGTCACCGTGTCACGCTAAAAAAAAGGCTCCCACAGATCATCTAGTGTCGCCGCAAGCATGTCCCCAGGAAGTCTCGGTATTCCACTGGAAATTCCCATACTTCACTAAAAAGGCTACACCCGGAAGTCACGGTATTCTGCTAAAACTCCTTGGAAGACATGATGTCTCTGAAAACACGTCCCACGGAAGTCGCTATTTCCCATTTAAAAGTCTGTCGGGGTACAAGTCAGGGTCCGGTCCAGGTCGTGTCAAGATCCGGCATGGGGTTGGGGGGGGGGGTCGAGGTACAGATCTGTCTCCGGGTCGGGGTCCGGGACTGGTTCGGGGTGGGGGTCTACACACTGCATTCACACTACATTCACAAATGTTAAGAAAAGTTTACCACCTTCATCTCTTTTTTTAACAATTACTATTTAGAAATGAAACCTAAAAATCAAAACCATTTTTCCTTCATGACAAACCTATATTAGAATTTTATCAACTTCTGTATAATGTTCGTTATATTTGGTCGCATATAGAGAGCTAAATAGAGCAAAGATTTTCTTCATACATTGAAATTTCATCTAAAGATAAAACATGTAAACATTTGTTTCAAAAAGAGTCTTCCATAAAAACTTTATGTTTCACTGGTTTCGGTGGTATTGGTGAGCTAAGGTTTAAATCTGTACCTGAATTGCACATGCATTTATATTGCAGTTGAACCTTTAGTCTCCCATCATTTTGTGAAGTGAGCTGTTACAAGTCTCAATTTTCTTCTGAAATTTTGAAGCAAATTACAATAAAATAACAATTCATGCTGATAACAAGTAAACAAAGAAGAGACATTGGGGGAATGCCAAGTATC